TCGACTATTGCATTTTCATAAACTCTTGAAAAACTTCTTTTATGCTTAAAAAAAGAATATTACGATAAACAATCACATTTCCAGATTGTCCGTCGCATTCTACGAACACTTCAACTGTTCAATAAGATCCTTATGAAATAAAAGAGAAGAATATTGAAAACTTTCAAAGCTATTTCAGAGATAATCATCTCAACTAGAATTGCGTAGTGCAAAATTTAAAGATGAATTCCGAAATAATTAGTAATGTTTCTTTTTGGAGAAATCGTGATATCAAAATATTATATTTTGAAAGTATTTAACATACTTTCAAAGTATTTATCATACTTCAACAAGTTAATGTGAGATTCACAAAATCGAATAATTGTAAAAATTAAAATTATAATCTAAATTGAAAAATCGTTAAGATATTAATACAGAATAATTATGAATGTATTTTAAAAAATTCGTAGAAAAAAAAAAACATTAAGATTAACAAATTTAATACTTTAGGTTTAGGTTATTTAAATAATCCAATTTTCCTGGCATATATAATTACGAACAATATACAAGTATTAAAAATACCTGTGTGGTTATATATTTCGCATAACGACACTGGGTAAACATTGTACGAAGTACAATAATTGAGTTATCATACTAGCGGCGTACACACACGGCGGTCATGCATAAATAAATATAATAATCCGCAAAGCGGCGTTCCTCGATTCGCCGGGCAAATTAACGCGCGCTTTTGTCGAATGATATTTTATTTAATGTTCACGGGAATCAAGCATTTTCACCAGTAGCCGACTACCGGCCCTCTTCTTTGCATTTGCGCATTATTTAAATCACGGCATTGTTTTAATACTGATCTGAATCGTTTAAAATGGATAGATATTTGCTCTAGTATAGAAAATAAGATTATATTGTTAACGCAACGCGTCAATAGAATAACTAATATATAATAAAATTTTGTTTTTTAATAAGAATAATTGTTTTGCATTCACATTATGCTTATTATCATGCTTATCATAAGTATAATATATTCTCATATCAATATCAGTATTAATATAAATGTACACAATATACATATACATTGTTCAAGAAATCAAACCGTTATACTCATCTGAATAATTACGTTTAGCTATGTGATAAAAAAAGAAAATCAGAAAAATTATTTTAATTTCAATATACATATTTCAGATATTCTATTCTTATGCCTTAGCCTTAATTGATAGTATATTTTAGTTTTAACGTGACTTTTACTAAAACATTCATCGGTAATTCATTTGAGATAAAAAACGAATCGAATATCGATAAGCGCAAACTGCGCGCGATATAATTTATGATGTTAGCCGATATTTGATGAATGATATATCTACGCGCAGACAGTAGATTCTTTTTGCATGATGTGAATGTAAAAAAAAAAGTATTAGAATGCAATGTGAATTGCTACGAGATTGTAAAAAATAGAGGTTGCACACAAGGAAACACAGTGGCAGTATACTTAATGAATTTATAATAAACTCCATAAGACGTACTGTACATCAATTAAATCAGCCACGTTTAATAAATTAATTACGCTTTAATACGAAATGGAATGACTGAGATACACAAAATTGTGTCGTTATCATATATATAACTCGATATAGCACATCTTCTTTTCTCGCTTATCGTATAATACATAGTTCCTAAATAGCAACACAAAAAAGAAGTTCGCGCAAATATCCGATTCAGGTACATCATCTCGCACACTGTAAAATACTTAGGCGGGCCGCAATATATATTTTTCTCGAACACTTTTACTTATCAGTTATTCGTACAGAGAAAAAGTATGGCAGTATGTATGTATGTTTGTGTGTGTGTGTGTGTATGCGTATTTGTGTGAATAAATATGTGTATATATATATATGTGTGTGTGTGTGTGTGTGTGTGTGTGTGTGTGTGTGTGTGTATATAATCGAGCGATTTTATATATTCATATCTGTCGTGTTATACGCATTTATGGGTATATGTTTGTATTCCATGTATATCTGTCTTTACGCTGTTGAGGAATACGCACGTACATTCATGCTACGTTATAGTCTCCTTCTGAGTTATAAAAGTACGAAAAAAAAACTATCTTCTCATACGATGCGACGAAACGTACTATATGTATGTATACGTATACCTACACATTGCAAACATATTATTCCCGCTGGAAGGAAGCAAGAGTACATGGTCTAATAATAATAAAATAACTCCTGAATATATATCCCGAGTATATATATCCAGCCGCGTCTGTCGTCGCTGTAGTGCATTTTGGACATTTCGTTGATCGTCGGATGAGTGAACGTCGGATAATCATCTCGCTGGAATTCGCCCTTCGTACACGATTTTTTTTTCGGCCTTTTCTAGTCGTCCGAAGCCGATCGAACTATCGGTTGCGTCCCGTCACTTCCATTCCTCCACCATTCGAACAAGCCTTTCAGGTTTCATCGCTATGACGTGATCCAAGGAGCTTTCTGTATTCGCTCCGGTTGGATATTACTGCTGCGTGGTGATCCGAGGCGATCCCATAGAGGAAACGTCATCATCGCACAAAGCACCTCTCGAGCTCTCCGCCAGTCTCTTCCTTCTTCTTCTCCTCCATCTCTTCGTCCTCCTCCTCCTCCTCCTCCTCCTCCTCCTCCTCTTTCTTCTCCTCCTCCTCTTCTTACAAACACGTCAACGTACGCAGTGTTCCAAAGCGCGTTTCTCGAACGATGCACTATATGCCTTTAACGAATGACGATTAGAAGAAGCGCAAACAATTCCAAAACGATCCTCGCTGACGGCCGCAGATTCACCGTGGAGGACCCCAGCACTGAAAAATTATCGAACGAGATGCTAATAATACAATCTCCCATTTCTTGTTTGTTTTTTTTTTCTTTCTCAAGGAATTGAGTCGTGCGAGCGGAGGAATTCAGATTGCGGCTCAACAGCATAGCTTTCTGAATGCCCCGTCTGTGTTTCAAAGTAAACGCCTAAGCCTAAGGAGGTCAAAAAGCTCATCGAGTTCGCCGGATATTGTTCAAGTTCGAAAAAATAGAACTCTCTCTAAGCAATGGAATCCGCGTCTAGATTCTCAAAGTGTCTCGAATTTCGATAAATAATTGAAGACGTAATGGACAGCAATATAATATATTTAGAGAATTATGTCTCCTTGAAATAATGAATATATACAAATAATGCATCGAGTTGGCGTAATTATTTCTATTATATGTGTGTGTGGGGGGGGGGGGGGTGTACATATATTATATTATGTTTCTCTCTCTCTAAATAGAGTTTTTAGACATAAATAATTTCTCTATAAAACGACAATTACTTATAAGTAGAAACAAAAATAGAAATAACGACAAAATAAAAAGAAGCAGAAGCAATAATTGCAAGTTAAATTTTTGAAAATGGAGTCTGAGACTCGGCATACTCACCCCACATGTTTGAATTGAACATAAATTGTAATATATATATTCTTTAAATTCTTTGGAATAGAATCTCTAAAGAGCCAGTCTTAAAAAAGAATAAATCAATTTTCAATCTTTAAGAGAAATTCAATCTGAAAATTTTAGAAAATAAAGTTATAGAGGAAAGGCTCCTATTATGAGATACCAAGTTCCATTTTAGGTAAATACTAGAAGTTTAGAATTTAAAAAAATAATAAGTCATTTTAAAGGAAATTTAATAAACTTTAAGATAATGTTATATAAAATTTAATTCAAATTCCATTTTTTTTTTAAATTAAAGAAATGTAAAAAGTGAACAAATCGCAAAGTCAAAAAATTCTGCTCCTAATATGAGATGCCTCAAGAAATCGATATTAAAATGTAAAGTATATCAGTATTGTAACCAAAAAACTTTATTTAATTTTCTTTTTTAAATACAAACAAACACAGCCAAAAATGTGCGCGAAAAATGAGTACGTGATACATTATATCCAAAATTCGTCTTCAGATTTAGTTGAAATTAAGCATCGCAGAAGTAAATACTCGAGATTCATTTCGGTTGTCCTTTTTTTATTATTGTACAATAACATTTATACTTTAACAATGATTTTCACTATGACATGAGAGCATGAGTTATTTCATATTAGAAATATCCTGGATATCTCATATTACGATTTCCACGTCTTATGGTTTTACTCATCAAATTTAATTTCTGCAATTAAGCAATTCAACATATCCCATATTTTTCTATTAGTACGACCTTACTCTATCACTACATGAAGAATTTATTGCTAAATATTTATTTATTAAATAATAAACAATGTTTAAAAGCTCATCTCAATGAAACTTGAAGACATCTAAATCCTAAAATCTTTTCTTTGACAATGACAGGCATAATCTAATAATGAATTTTCTACTAAATAGTTTTCAATTCACGCAATAAATTCATGGTGGAATACCAATAGATAGCATCTATTAGTTTAGCAGAAACGCTGCTATCTCATAATAGGGGGTTTTCCTCTATAATATACGTATGCATATACATTTTTAATTCTTACGTATTCTCATGGTATTTAGCATTTTATAATTTATCCGTAAATTGATATTTTACTATCATGGAATTATTATTTCTGTGCCTCTTAGAGCAATCAATTAAGTAACGCAAATATATTGCGGCATGAAAAAGTGAAGAAACGTTACCTTTTACTCCAACCTGCCCGTCAGGTTTCTTCTGGCCGGTCTGAAAATTTGGCGGTGGCTGCAGATAGTTGATACCAACGATAGTCGCGGCAGGCTCGTAATGTATCACTCGCGGCCGATCTTCCTCGGCGCTAACTTCCGTGCTCTGCCAATAAATATCGTATATCGACGCACTGCAACGTATCTTCAGCTTGCCGCTCACGAAGTGATCGTGCGAAACCAGGAATTGGAGCCCAATTTGCGAAATCTGCCACTCCGATTCGTTCGTGTCGAGCGGGCTGTACGTGCGAACGTGCGCTTTGAGAGGCTGAAGAGAGAAAAGAAACAAAAAAGATACAAATTAGTGTCAATAGAGTTACGCAAAACTTCTCTAAATATGTGTTACAGTTATACGGGAGATAGATAAAACAATGCGAACACTTGAGAAATGTAATATCTACTTTTTATTAATAAGAATTTAGTTTACCATTTATCTTTAATGCAGAGTTTCTATTCTTGTTGAAATAGTGTCATAAATACTCGAATAGTACAATAACTGCTACAGTGTTATTATACCTTTTCGCAGAACATCTTCTAATTGTTTAAAAGATATTGGAAAAGGAAATCTGTTTCTCATCTTTGCTCTTCAAAATTACAAATAATATTCGAATCAGGCGACTGGTCAGGAAAGAAGTTTTGGAGAAAGGATAATTTTGGAAAATATAGAATGAGAAGAAAATTTCCTTCTCCAATGATTTATAGCAATTGATAGATGTTCTAAAAAATAATACATTATCTATTGGTAACTATTTAAGCATTGAGTGATTATTCCAATAAGGACAGAATGTGTATTAAAAATAATGAACCACTCTCTTATTAACAAAACAAGTGGCAAAATAAATGTATATTTCCCAAGTGTTCATATTATTTTGTCTATTCTCTGTAAATATGTATAGCATATAAATGTAATATAGATAATGTGGAAAGGTTATTTATAATCATAATATGTATATCAGAGCGGTACATATATTCTGCTATAGTAGTAAATAATTTCGAATATATTTAATTTTAGAAAGTTAATTAGGTTTCATTATTTGATGGCCATGATGAGTTAACGATAGCTATAATAGCTTGTTAAGAGATAAAATAAATATTGATATTGTGGTATAAGGATAAAATAATATATTCGCGCTGCTTCATATGTCATTAATGCTGCTGTTATATAAATTCTCGGTAGTACGGCGATTTCAATTTTCCGACAACCATGCGTTCGTGCCTAGTACGTGAAATAATTTACGTAGAGGTGCGTTGACGTAAGGTGATTAAGGAAACTATTTTGAGCATTGCAAATGCGACGTTTATTACGTTTTGTAAAAATATGACTTTAAAATATATACTAGGATTAAAGCATTTTATCGTTTAAAAAAAATTTGATTTATTATTAAAACAGCAAATTTAATTACTTAATTAATTACTCGAAAAAGATTTAATTACTTAGATGATAAACAAAGATTTAAAATTTTTCGAACATTGTCTCAATCAAGCCTTAATTAAGAGACATTTACGTTATAATATTATACACTAATTGAGAATCGGAATATTAAATTATTTTCCGTACTGCGGATGCTGTTCGCTCCAACTTTGGAACATCTCGAAGAGGAACGTATCCCATAAGCTCCCTTGTCTCTGACGTTTGATCAGGGATAATGGATCAAAGCTGGGATAAACTAAATAGAGGTATCTGATCCTTCTCTCCCATTCCTTTCCGTCCGTCTATCCTCTCGTCTAACCGCGCGCGCATTACTATCATTAGCAGTTAGAGCATACCTGTCGATCGTTGATATACCAAGTGAGATTCGCGGCGGGTTTGCTCCGGCCAGATGTACAGTTCAAACGTAGCGGATCGTCGACGCGGTATTTCCTCTTTAGTCCCTGTATCGACGGCATCTCAGAGGGCAATTCTGCGAAGGCAATATATACTCCACATATATAGAGTGCTCCAGATCTTAGCAACCCCAGCCTCTGGCCTTAGTGAGCCACCCTCCATGCATACGTACTATTTCGTGGTGTCGAAAGCAGATTTTCTTTCGAAAATATCAAAGAAAACTATTCTACTTTCAACAAATCTTCAGTTTCTCACATTAAAGTGTTTACAATAAATTCTTAAACTGCATATCCCAAACTGAAGTAAAATCTCATTTCATGTGAGATTAAGTCCTTTATTCTTTAATTCTTAACGACAATATTAATGTCATTGCATTGATTTTATACAAAAACTACGCAGCAACTACGAGAAAATATAATATACCGACACTGTCATTAAGAGTTGCGGAATAGGAGCTAAAATATTTAAACGATAAGAAAAAAATTCTCAGTTGCCAAACTTCCGAGTTATTTCTTCATAATAAGATGCCATTAGACAAAGAATACGTGTATGTATTCTACATATATAAAAGATAATTACCATAAATGAATTAAGAGAATAAAATCGAAACGTATTTGATTATATTATTTGATTGTTTTGTTATGACAATAAATAATTCACATTAATTGATTCAAGAACTTTCTGTGTTGTTCGTTGTAGGTTCGTTGTAGTCATAAACCCATTTAATTTTCCTTTGCAATCTTATATGAATTTGATAGTCTGATTGCATCAAGCAAGATTTAAAACTCTCTCCCTCTCTATCTCTCTCGGCATTAAAAAGAGAGGAAAAGAGACTAATAAGTTTATCAAACATAATAATATAACCAACCGTTTGGTGTAATAATTACTAAATCTATTTTTTTTTAATAAAATTATTTTTAATTGTGTTAACCGAATATATTTAATATTTGACTGAAACTATTTCGGTTTACATTTGATAACTGTTACCACTCTTTTTTCAGTGTAATTTGAAAGATGATTCTTTAGATTCAGCCACCCTGTAGATACGTAGGCGACCAAGCATCGCATGAGCTTGCGTGCAGTCGAGACGTTGTCGCTTTGACCGGGCTTGACCGGACGTCGTCGTTCCTTAAAGCCCGACGCAGTCGAAACTTTCGGCGGTGATGGTTGGTCGATACGAGGGGGGCGAAACGGCCTTTCTCTCGCACTCTCGTCCCTCGTACGAAAAATTCTTCTCTTACGATAGAGACGGAGAGATTCGCGCTCGCGTGCCCCCGACCGTTTCGCTATCGGCACGCGTTGTCAAGTATACAATAACGCACACACGCGCAAGTCGTTGCAGACACCTGTACGTGTCGCCGTCAGCCCGGGGCTCGGAAAATATTACTTTTTCACTTTTTATGGTGGAACGTAAATTCGTGCGCCTCGTCGCGCCTTTACGACGAAACGGGGCAAACGCAACGAATATAAAAGTGTCGCCGCTCTCTGACGCGAGCGCGAGACGCGAGAATTGAATAGTCCCGTCCTTGCGGAAGATTTGTGTCGTATCTCCGAAACTCCGCGAGCTCTCGAGCGCCGCGCAAATATGTATTTATTCCTATATACAGTATATATTTTCTTGTTCCTCATTTGCGAGCCGCGGCTGGCTGTGACGCGCGCGCGAGAGACACGAGTAATTAAAAAAGACATTTAATTTTCTCCGGGAGTACGTTCGTATGTAATACGATCGGAATAGATTACGGTATATTTGAAAAGGAAGTCCCAGCAAAATGTTGCTAGGGCAGAATTTATCGGATGCCAGGTTTTAATGAAGGAACCTCGAAAATAGCGACGTGCAGTTTACGTTGTTAAAATATATTACTCGACGCGCAATCCCTGTAAATTGCAAAAGGCGTCGCGTCGCTCGCGAGGCATAGGAATCTCTCCAGTTTTTCTCTTTCCCCTCCCCCCTTCTCTTTTTTTTCGCGAAGCGCTTCGGTTCGTCGATCTTACAGTAAATTATCGTAAAAGTTTTATTTACGACGGCGTGAGTGCGATTTAAATAGCGCGCTTATTATTATTCCCCTTATCAAAAACTCGATATCGCCAGGACAGTCTCGACCGTAAAGTGGATGAAGCGCGTTAAATCGCCCCGACTGGTATAATAACGCTCTACGTGTTTTTTTACGCAGTCGACGATGGCGTCCTAAGTTATAAACGTATATACGCAGTAAGAGCACCGGAGAACAGGAGACACTTACCGACGACGTTCATCGCCGCGTAAACTATAGCCGTGTGGAAGGAAGGTGCATCGGCTGATACTTCGCAGCTGTACGCGCCTGCCGCCTCCAATTCCAACTTTGTCAGCACGACCTGTGTCGCGTTGCTCTCCGTTTTCTGCGAAATAAGGATAATTCATTACGATCGTGCGCCTCGGCACGAAGACGTCTTCGTCGGTCTTCCTCGTCTTTCGTCGTCGTCGTCGTCGTTGTCACGATTATCGGGGACACAAGGACTGCGGGAATTCTCCCGGGTGGATATGCACGGCATGTACGTGTACATACGAGAATACGTAACGGATGCGCTTACGACAGGAATCCGTCCAATCCATTAATGACCAATGCTTCCGCCAATCGCACGACATGCGACCGACCTGGTTATTCGGTACCAGCCCCAGTTTGATCCCCAAACGGGAACCTCGTCTCGCGTTTCCCCGCGGTCCATTCGCGATGTTAAATATTCGCGATGCACTCGGGCTTGCTTTTTTCCTCTCTTCTTTTTTTTGTACATACATCGACTGCCGATTGCCGAGAGTCGTTATCGGGGATGTTAAAAGTAATGAATATCGCAGCAAGGTGTCCGAATTGCGTTTCGAATTGCAGTGAAAAGCGCCCGCGGCTTGGCATTCGTATCGCAAAAATGCGACGCACGGAACGTTAGAACGATTGGATGTTAAAAATCGCGCGTGCAAGTGCAATAATGCAGAATGATCTATTCCATCCGACTGTGGATACGTGTCGCATCTCATTGCACGGACATTCGTCACAACAGTCGACATTAGATCGTAATCGGAGCTGTCATGTCCGCGGCCAGAATTAAAAACTGGACTGTTGGACCACATGTACCGCGTATAAAATTATATTTAACGGCGCTTTAAGCAACTTGAGTTGTGAAGAATGTATAAAGTATAAACGATGCATCCATGAATCGTTCGTAAAATAGAATCTATTTAGAAGGAATACTTTGAAGAGTACAAATTGTAATTCAATGTCGCAAATTGTATATACATTTACGGTATTGAACTGTACTCTCTAAAATTTTTATGAAATCTCACTCTTAAAGATTGAAAATTGAATTACTCTTTTTCAAGATTACCTTGATTTTTATTCTTTAGAATGAAAGTGCACTTTAAAAAATTTAGAGTGTACTACATGTACTATATAAAACTATTATAACTCTATACACACACGCACACACACACACACACACACACACACACACACACACACACACACACACACAC